AGCAATAACTGTGAATTGTATTTTCAACTTGAGAGTTATTTTTATGGCCTCTCTTTAACCGAGGTACAGCCAAGCATAAAGCATGGTTTAAATGTCTTCAAAAAAGATATTATCATTATAATTTTTTGAAGGCTGAACAGGCTCTATCATATTTATTTAATGTGTGCTCTTTTTTCTTTGTATGAATTCTTTCTGCTCACAGTGTATTAAAATAAGCATTATTATATGCACAGTTTACAGTCATGTTTCTACAATAAGCAAAAAGTGTTTCTAATTGTAAGGATTATAATTGTCAATATTGGAACATTGTAACCAAACTCAAGCCGGGGCATGCCAGTTAGAGATTGAAATTTCCTCATTGAAACATGTGCTATGCAGAAAACCTTGTTGTTTTCTATATTTCACATCCAATGTTAATTTATTTCAATTCCAAATATTAAAGTTCGTTTATTTATTTTTTAAAAAATATTACTTATTATTTAATTTCTTAAAAATGATAGTCATTAATTGTCTGTAACTTTATGGACTTTTTTCTTTTGTTTCGAATAGCTCAAGAATTCAGAAACAGTTGTATAAAAAATATACAACACTGGTTTAACATTAGACATGTATGATATATATAATAAAAACAGTGAAAATTTTATAAGTGTGATAAACTATCTTCTACTAAATTAAGGATTATTCGATTTAAATTTGTATATGACAATGAATTGCCATGTCAAGATTTGTAATTAGTAAAGGACGCATCAGAACATTCACATTATTAAAAAAAAATTTAAAATATATCAGATTTAATATAACTTGCTGAACTTTGATACAACGTAAGATTTTGCCAATACCAAAATCTCTGCGCCCGATTTCTCTTTTAAGGTAGCATGTAATGTTTGTCAAGTAGACAAATGAATAAGGTCATTAAGAGAAAATATACATGTACTGCACGATAGATAAAGCCAGTCCCAAGGGGTAACTTTTTTCAGTCTATTTATAGGCACGTCGTTGGTTCCATGGAATGCCAGAAACAACAATTTCGATTACTAAAGCCTATTCAATTCATATGTTCCGAAGAACGCATGTGTCGCCTGCTTTATAGCATCATTAAAGTTTCCAAGGGTGTTCAGATATTTATTTCCTACTAGCAATATATCAAAGAAAAAATGCAGGAGCGTAGCATGTGGAGGTGGGGGTGGGGGGCTTTTTCTGAGAACAGTTTATTGATCTAGTTTTACTATGTAAATTTTTATTTGGAAACTGCTTGTCCCCTCCGTTTGTCATTTTTTATTGCTATACGGTCGAACACTGGCAAATTCAAGCATTAAAAATGTATCAAAGAGTTGGAGAAATGGATGTCCAACCAACCAATCAACCCCCACGAAGTAGGATTTTCGAGTTTGGGCAGTTTAGGTGTTTTTGTTTTTGTTTGTTTGTTTGTTTTTGGCTGTGGACCCTAATCCACAAATAGTAAGACCGATAGAATACGATTTATTATATAAAATCAGACAATAAAAAATAGAAATATGATTCCCCAACCCTCAAAGCTAAAAGAGAATAATGAAATAGGTAAAATTATTACAAATAATTATTTGTTATTTTTAAAACAACCATCTTCCAAAAGAGATTTCAGTCTTTCTTTAATAGTCAGTCTACAACGATCATTTTGGTATACCGATCCGATTGTATTAGTAGTTTTAGTTTGTGTGGTATCTATATAGCATAAATTTCAAAGTACAGTGCCATGAGTTTATAAACATATGATACAAATGCTAATTATCAAAATCTTGCCTCTAAAAATAAAAGAAAGGAAATTAAATCAACCATCTGGAGTATATTTGCAAAGTATGTCAAAGGTCAAGTGGACTGTAGTGCACATGCTAAATAACATTGATTTACTTCCGAAATGCCAAAGATTTGCTTTATATCGGAACAATCGAACTATTTCAAAAAGTTGTTCAATCGTCACGAGGTCGGTGACCATGGTATTTTACAAAAGCCAAAGTACCAAAAAATATGTGTGCATCTTATAGTTCTCAAAAACTAGGGTGTGACAGACGGACGGACGAACAGACAGACAGACGAGTTATAGTGATCCTTAAGTGTCGCTCTACTCTGCAGGCGACACAATGAAGCACTTATTCTTTAGCGAAGAAATGGTCTTAATAAACTGTTCTCTCCCTAAAATTAAGTATGAAAAACAACTCCTGCATACTTAAATATTACACTGTTATTCCATTTAGATATATCGATGACGTATTGTCAATTAACAATGGTTGTTTCCATTCTTATGTCGATACGATATATCCCGGTGAGCTTGAAATAAAAGATACCATAGAGTCTGAAACATCTGTTTCATATTTGGATATTTACAAGAAAAGACGTTAATGGTAATCTAACAACCAAGCTTTTTGATAAACGTGATGACTTTAACTTTTCAATCGTCAGCTTCTCTTACTTATGCAACAATATACTTTCATCACCTGCATACGGGGTTTATATCTCTCAGTTGATTCGATACGCAAGATCATGCTCTACCTACGAACAATTTCTAAAAAGAGGTAAGTTATTGACAAACAAGTTGATGAAACAAGAATATCAGCAGTCTCGTTTAAAGTCTTCATTTCGTAAGTTCTATGGTCGAAACAATGACCTTGTCAGCAAATACAATTTATCATTAAGTCAAATGCTGACTGACTTTTTTCATACTAATTGTTAGGCCATTATTTACACATTGAATTGTCGACGGATTTTTCCGTTATTTCCCGATCATGACAAGGAGCACACGGCGGGTGTGACCGGTCGGCAGGGGATGCTCACTCCTATGGCACCTGATCCCACCTCTGATGTTTTAGAGGTCCGTGTTTGCTCTGCTCCAAAATTTGTATTGTTTAATGGACTTTTTAGCTTGAATACTGTTCGTTATCTCCATATATTTCATCCCATAATAACACCTTTCTTTCATGTGCATACATGTAGTTAACTAAAAAATCCAATTTCTGTTATGAGAATTTATCATTCTTTTCTTTAATATAGGGTCAGCAAACCAAAAGAGATTGCCCATGGTTGTAGAACCACCCATTTTGTACCGTTTTGTATGCAGTTACTAGGCTCACCACTCGCATCATTTATTGAATATATTAAAATTGATATAATCAAGTATGGGGAAATAAGTTACTCTTCACTCCGTAAAATGTATATAGGAAAATCGCTTCATTAAATTGAAAAAGAACCCAGACCTTTTTAAAGGTTTTTATGGATTTTGTCAAACAATTTTGAATCTATCTGTATTTTTTTCTATTTCTTCCTAACAAAACTCTAAACAATAATTTTCTTGAATATATATATATATATATATATATATATATATATATATATATATATATATATATATATATATATATATATATATATATATATATATATATATATATATATATATATATATATATTTACTTAACTTAGATTGGTGGAACTCGGAAATTTTCGTATCTTGTGATTGGCAATTCACAAAATTGATTTGTAAAAATCACTATGATTCTAAACATAAGTTCGCTTAGTTGATATTAAAAGGATGCTGAAGTTCCTCATTGACGACATCTATGTAGTCTCTGGAAACCAGGTCTTTCGAGAAACTCAAATCTGTTTTTATATTCCTATGAAGCAGAATTTATTCAAAAACTTCATTGTGAGAAGAAGAAAACATTCGCTGTGGCATTTAACACGACATTCAGATAACAATTTATCAAATAACAATAGTTACTTCCATTCATATGTCGACCTGATATATCCCAGTGAACTCGAAACAAAAAAAAAAAAAAAAAAAAAAACAACAACAACAACAGAGTTTGTCACTTCTGTATCATATTTGGATGTTTTACTGAGTATAGATGATATGGTTCAACTTACAACTAAACTGTATGACAAACGATATGACTTCAGTTTTTCCATGTCAACTTTCCTTATTAATGTAGTAATATCCTGCTATCACCTCCATATGGTGCTTTTGTCTCCCAACTTATTCGATACTCAAGAGCATGTATAAAATATATACATTCATTTTCATATGTAGTAATATATTGCTAATATATTGCTATCATCTGTATATGGTGTTGGTCTCCCATCTTTTTAGATATTCAAGAGCATTTTCTGAATATGATCAATTTTCAAACCGAGATAAGCTAATGACAAATAAGGTGATGTTACAAGCATATCAATCTCGTTTAAAGTCCTCATTTTGTAAATTTTATGGTCGTTATAATGACATTATTAGCAAATACAAGTATCATTGAGTCAAATTTTGACTGACATATTTCGTACCACTAGTTATGTTTCAGATTTTCCCTATATATTTCAATGTAAAACTTTTGATTCTCTAATGTGATCCCCCCCCCCGGGGGGGCATGATTTGAACAATTTAGAATCTACATTACCTCAGGAGGCTTCCACAAGTTTTCTGTCCCAGTGGTACTTGAGAAGGTTTTTAAAGATTTTTCCTATATATATTTCAACCAATTGAATAATGAATATGCTGAACTGAAGATATCACTAACCAAACAGTTGCATCTATGCGCATTAATTGAATGAATGATAACATTGATTCAATTGAAAACTTAAAGTTGACGCTAAGTCGACAAACAGACTGTTCAATTAATAAGGTGTGATATTATTAATAACAGAAGAAATATCTAAAATTTAGTTTTATTGCCCTAAAAAGGTCTCACAAACATAAGAGGTCTATTTACAAAGTGATAATAAAATTACATTATTATATTTAATAAAGTACATTTCATTACTGAACAAAGAGAAAAATGCTTGTATATTTTTAAGTATACTATATATTTCTTTTGGTTATAGGGTAACACAAATAAGAAATTTAAAAAAATAAATCATCGATAAAGTCTCCAAAATATCGTGATTTTCCTTGTAACGGTTAAATGTTAATTGTTGGCAACGTAGCACTATAAAGTACTCAAATATACACCCCTATCATAACCAAATATTTTGAATGCCTAAGCCATAGATGGTCCAGGATTTGCTGGTTCGTCTTGTTCAAGTGTTGTAGAGGGTTTATCATGCAATTCCAATTCCATTTGCGAAAACTCACGTCCATCCCCGTTTTCTTCACTCTCTGTCCCATCTTGAAATAACTTGGTGTTCTGTTTTGCAATCGTATGCTTTTTGACTGCAACTTTCGTCACACCGCTGGGTGGCACTCTTGCAGTGACTTTCTCATCCTTCTTTGGCTTTCTTCCAGGCAAGGGGTTGTAACTCAAGGCGCCCAAAGCGTATTTATTGTGAGTTATTTCCCCTGGGAGATCGTTGCTGGCGCTTCTGTTAGATACGGGACTGTCAGCTAAACTTTCTACACTCGATGTACACCCAGTCAACCAGTATGTTACCATTTCACCTTTACCCTGTAAATGTAGAGTAACAATGTCAAACAAAAGCCAATGTTCAGTTACTATATCATGTTTAACTTTTGACTTCTGTTTCATAGAGTGTTTGTAAAGTATGCATGTATGTCCCACTGAAGAATTTTTATCAAACAAAATATTTATTGAGGAACTAGACTTTATCCAGCACAAGATTGAATTCAGTAAAAGAAATCGAATCTACAACTATACATGAATGTATTATCTAGCTCTTCGCAATTATTCGCAAGAAGCTGTGAATAGATGTGATGAATTTTTAGTGAAAAGGATTTTTGAAATATCAGAGCATTTATGATGGAATATTTTTCTTGATTTCTATGCACAAATGTGAAAGCTGTTGGCGATGTGGATTCTATAAGAACTCTGTAGTTTTTAAATTCTTCACCATTAACTCAATGGTTTGTCAGATTCTTTTCCTCCTGTTTAAAAGGTAGCGTGGTCAACCCCCGGCCGAGTTTGGTCAAAGAAATTTGTAAGTCATATCCTTCATTAAATGTCTAGCATTTGAAAGTGAGGTTGCTGCTATTTGTGATGACAAATTAAATATAGAATCCAGCTCACTTGAGTTATCTAAATACTGTATACAGGGTTCTTTTCGCCCCATTTTATTTTCGCCCTTTCACACTTGCAAACAATTTTGCCCCGTTTTAAATTCGCCCACTCATAGTTTTGTTTAAAAAATTATATTCTTTGAATTCGCCCCGTTTTAAATTCGCCCAAATGAGGGTAGGGCGAAAGGGGCGAAAATAAAACGGGGGCGAAAATTTCCCTGTATACAGTACTCTAAAACATGACTATCTCTGTTAAATACTGATCAATAAAGAGGGTTAACAGCGTATGTAAGGGAGGGCAGGGAATGCTTACTCCTCCTAGCCACCTCTGATGTTTCCAAGAGCCCGCTATTTTGTCCTTTTCAAGATTCGCGTTATTCACTGGATTTCTGAGACTGATCAATGTTTGTTACCGTCACCCTTTTCATTGCAAAACACATGTAAATTGCGACACAGTATGGTGTGTGTTTATTTACCTTGATATCTATCGTCCCACGCTTCTTCATCGTGTAGTTTCCGGTCTTTGATAGAAGCACGTATGTCGTGTGACTGATGTTTATTTTGTTGGCTGTAAATAAAAGTGGTTAACAATGTTAAGTAAGCGAGGTTCCGCGTTCATTGATATTTATTGTGATCTAAATATAACAATTATTTGGTAAAATTAAAAAAGACATCTTTTATACAAAATTAATTTTAAAAATGTGTATTTTTATATGGAATTGCAATACAACTCTTACGTCGGCTATGAGACTTCATTCTGGACGCTGTATTTACAGTATCCCCAAACAGGCAGTACCTCGGCAACGTGGATCCTACTATACCCGCCATGCATGATCCTGTAAAATTAGAAATATACGTGAATAAGTTTATCTGCAAGTAATTCTTGCTGTACCATATATCTGAATAATTTTACATAATTGTACATATATTTTATTTTTACCAGTGTTTATTCCAATTCGTAGTTGGACTGTTCCCTTTTCATTGTTGGAAAATGTCTGTTCTTTCATCATCCTCTGGACAGAAAGAGCAAAGTCGGCGATCTCGTGAGCATGTCTGTTGTTATTGCGATGTGGCAGGCCTGAAAGGATAGATTTTCAATATTTAATCAAATGATTGTGTGTCAAATTTATATTTGCAATAAATATGCGTTGTTTAATGTCCTTAGTCTTGAAATGTACTTTTCAATACTATCGTAAGGCCTCGCAAACGTGCTTTTATGAAGATATCAGATATGAAGCTATATTAACACATTTTACTTCAAACTTATCGTGATAACTATTTTAGCTCACTACGTTCTTTCATAAGCAAAATGATTTAACCCACACTGTCTGTCGCTGATATTATACTTTAAGACAACCAACCTGATACTACCATATAAGAATCGTTAATGGTCTCCACTTTGTACAGATCCCTGTTGTCAAGGAGAACATCGATGGCGCCATAAAGTGCATTCAACAGTTGGACGATCTCAAGGGGCTGCAGGGTAATGGACAAAAGGGAAAATCCATGGATGTCCGAAAATAAAACAGTTACAGATTTGAAGTACTCCGCCTCAATCCCTTCCTTTTTCTTTAACTTGTCTGCTACTTCTTTTGGTACCATTTGGTACAAGAGAGAGTCGGTTCTCTTCTTTTCAAAATTCAGTTCCTTTGTTTTGTCCACAAGAATTACAGCATACTTCTGTATGTTGCTGGTCAAATTTTCGGTGCTTATGATAACCAAAGAACATGAGATTAAAACAAAGACCAAGACGCAGGCGCTGATGATAAGGTCTTTGTTTGAATCTTCTAGTATCTTGTCGACTTTTCCAAGACAAATGTTACCTAGTGTTGTTTGGAGGCTGAGAAGTGTGTCCAAATAAAGAGACGTGTTGTCGTAAAACCAACGGGCATTTCTAAGATCAATTTTACTGACATTTTGTTCTTCTTCTCCATGATCTTGGATATATGTACGAAATTTATTCAAAATGATGCTGACATTTCTTCCATTAGAAAAAATACCGTAAGATCCGATAAAATCAACGTCCGGAGAGTACAAACGTGCGGTTTTGTAGTTGGATTGAAAGCCAAAGATCTTCATATTGTATTGTTCAAACTGAAGGTGAGTTTCAAATCCACCTCGTGCAAAGAACATGGTCCCCAGCGCTCTCTCCAATCCCATATCTTCCTTAGCAGTCGTGATTTTCTGGAAGCCGACGAGAGATTTCCACACCACAGCAAACTTGGATTCCACAATAGATTTGTATCCCCAGTATATTATGATGTCAATAATAGAAGTATAGAACTGCATTTCTTTATCGATATCTGAGGATTGATGATTCAGTTGTTGACGATGTTGACCTATGTGCTGCATCATTTTGCTTTTCGATTTAAATGCTTCGCGGTTAAATCTATCCAGGTTTCCTGGCCATCTTGCAATGCTGTCTATGGACTCGTCTGTGATTTGGTACTCCTTGAGTAGGAATGTCTTCGTGTCTGGTCCAAGAGCACTCAAATAGAGGATGCTTAAATCTCGTTCCTTCTGAAGATGGTGAATTAATCTGCCAACTTCTATGCTGAATTCCAAAGATTCTTTCATCTGTCAATGAAAAATAATTCAAGATGCCAGCAATTTTAAATACTCTATTAATAAAACTTTGCAAATCTTAGTAGTTTCATACGCAATTTTTTAAATCTGTGTATTTCTGGTCTTCACTGATATTTTGTGCATACCTTTTCGTTGTCCGTTTTGGTAGATATTAAATCAGTAAGTTGGTATACACAGTAGCTCCAGAGTGCCAGTATTGGTAACACAGTTAGACATAACATCTTCACCATTTGTACCCTCTTACCACGATCACTGACTGGCACAGTATTACATATGTTACCTGAAAAACAAAGACTCTAGAATCGCATGCTAAGACAAACAAGTTCAAACATATTTTTTTCTAAAGAAAAAATTACGAAACATAAAAAACAGACATTATTCCTATGCTCTATTTTTATTATCTGCTTATCTCGACGTTTGCCATAGAGCAACTTATACATTGCAAAGCCTCGAAAGTTTGCCTGTATTTTAAGATATTTAGGCTATACCCATACATCTCCATATGCATAATGAATAAAGAAAATGTTCAAAATCTTTCATTTCTCGAGTTTAAGGATGAATTTCCAAAGGATGAGAATTTTTTTGATTGCTTCAAATATATGCAATACCTTGACTACCTGCTGGATTAATTGGATAAAGAAGATGTGTCGGAGCTGGATATCTCAGTTAAAACAAGCATTCTGAAAGTATTGCATTAGCAATACTAGTCCCCTACCGGCAAGTGTAATCTGGTTCCCGTTAAAAATTGAAAATGCCATAAATTCGTCAAAAATCAATGAAGCGGAACGAAATGCAAACTTGATCTGTAACTCATCAAGGTAAAGTCGCATACAAAAAATCAGCTCAATATCTACAAGCGTTTAGAAGAAAATTGCGGAAAACCCTTAAAAATTGAAGAGGTCGTAATTCCGTCAAAAATGAATGAAGCGGAACGAAATGCAAACTTGATCTGTAACTCATCAAGATACACTCACATACCAAAAATCAGCTCAATATCTGCAAGCGTTTAGGAAAAAAGTGCGGAAAACCAATGGGACAGACTGACAGACAGACAGAGGGACAGACGGACAGACAGACAGACAGACGGACGGACAGACTCAGAGGAAACCTATAGTCCCCTCCGGTTTCACCGGTAGGGGACTAATAATTAATTTTAGGGACAAATATAGTCAAGAGGAAATTGATAATATTTAAAACATGTTTCCATACATAAATGATTTCCAGAGATGGAAAAAACAAGTGATGCCATGAAGTATCTAATACAATCTTGGAATTTGATCTATTGTGCATCAAACGTGTATGTTTGCTTTCCTACGTGTAAAAAGCTAGCGCTTAATAGGAACTGTGATTGTACGCTCGCCCATGACTGTTGATCGCAAATCTATGGATTTAATCAACCTAACGAAGTTAGACCTTTTCTAACTGTTTACATGTTTTGTCACAAAATATACAGGTGTGTTAGTGTTTGAAAGGTTGATGTGAGTTAAGAAATGAATTAAACATGTCACCACCTTATGAATCAATGAAATTGTACTAATGTCCACGCAACTGATTAATATAAAGATCTTTAAAAAGCCGTTACCGTTAATGTCAGCACGTTGTCGTTACCATGTTACCATGGTAAAAAATAACAACGCAAAAAAATAACAGTGTGTTTTCGATTTTTTTTACCCCCTTGTTATCACGTAGGTGTGATATAGGAATTCTAAATGTAAAATCAATGTAGTAATTTCTTTTTATGGTTTTTTGAAAAAAAAATTTAAACAATCTAATGTGTTTCATTTTTCTAAAATTTTACTTCCATTGGATATATTGAGACAAATCAAGTTCTAATATGAAGTTAAAAGTTTACTTGTTGCAAGTTCAAATATTGTTCAATAAAATATGTAATTGTACATGTATATGTTAATTTGTGATCTTAAAATTAAAAAAAAAATAAAGTGGCTATTGTGTATAACAAAATTAGAGATATAACAATAGTTTACAGTTGTCGACAAGGTTTAAGGGCAGCAGTTGATCTGTCGGACCGGTGTGCAAACTGTTGACTAAGGCCGAACTCTTTTATTAAACCTATTTAATGAGAACTTTTCTAATAGTCGATTTTATCAGTTCCAGTCTAACAGCCGACGGAACAATCAAAGAGATGGACTTTTTTCATGTAGAGTTACAAAGAAACTTTTACCTAGGGGTATAACAGGATTGATTATTACTATTCTTAAGACTGAATCACAAAAATGTTTGAGTAGTATTAATCAACAGTCGGATGTAGTCACTCAAATTAATTATGAGATCTTTTTCATCCATATAAAATGATTGTTTGTTTAAATTTTTAACTTACTTACCTTATTAAAAGTTATACTAATATTTACATTTGCTATGTTTTTCTACTAAGCCAACTGTGAAATTGTTTTGAATGCCATTTTCGTGTATACTCACGCGTAGAAATCTGCACGGAGAAACTGGCACTAAAGTGACGTCACAATGAGCTACAGAGACGTTAATAAAAATGCCACGATATAGGACAGCGAATAATTCAAACACTGAGTATATTTTTGGTGCTTTTGAACATGTAAAATGTAAATATAAGGAATGTTTTTAAGTTTAGTGTGAATTATTGGTGTGTAAATCACACAGACTTGCACGTAGGCATATTTTTCATGAAGCGCTAGCGCGTTTCATGAAATATGCCTACGTGACAAGTCTGTGTGATTTACACACCAATAACTCACACAAAACTTAAAAACAGTCCCTAAATAAACAAACATATTCATTCTATTTTGCAAAAATTCTTTTACGATATAAACATGGTGTAACAAAGGATATGTCTCTTTCACATTGCAAAATCGCCCCTTTTCAACACAGGGTAGAACTGCTTCAACTCATATAAATAGGTATTATTTATCCAATTCAAATCATAGATTTTTGGTTACAGTTTTCTTTCACAGTTTGCTTTTCGGAATTATAAAATATTTTATATTGAAATGAAAGCGCATCTTCCAAAATGAAAGATGATTTAATGGCAGTGTTTCACATAAGCACACATTTATGTAAAGAAAATGTTTTTTTATAAAGAGTAAAAAAAAAACAAACAAATCTCTTTTTTTATTTCGGTATTGGAACTGCAAGGTATGGGTTTTTCTTGATTACGTTTTTATCTTTGTTTAGAAAAATAAAAAGAAAAAATACTATTATTTTCTGGGATAGCGTGTTTTCTCTCTAAACTTACATAGGACGTGGATAGGACTACCTACTAATTTCTTTAATTGTTTTGATTGAATGTTGTCGATCGTTATGGTATCCGTAAATAGATATCCATGCCAAGGATTTTGTTGAAATCCGGCACATTTCGGACGGCAAGTCATTTTGTCCCCAGGAAGGATCATTCATGTAAATCTACTTGTATATCAAATTAATAACAGAAGGCACATGTGCACTAAGGAAAACTATTTGCCTTGCTGTTAAATTAAATAAATTCAGTTCGCATGTATCAATTCTTTACAGTATTTCTGTGGCCTACGTCAATCGTGTGAATGAAGAAAAAGGTACGTGACTGCGCTCATGAATTTTCGAAGTTTGACAAAGAGTCCTTGTGAATATGGTGTAAAGAATGCCTTTCTTACAAGTAATATATCATAAATGATAGGTGCAGAGCCTCAGGCAATTAAGAATAATTCATTGAAAAAATATATGTATAATTTTATTTGACCTTAAATTTACTTGGGTCAATTTGTTCCAATTCATAGATTCACATTTTAAAATTGGTTTTATTTTATTCTCCTGAAAATTATATTTTTGTCTTCATTTTCGAAATACATTTTTGCTATTAAGAAATAAAACATATAAGGCTTGAATAATTTCTTCTTTTTTTTGTCGGCAAGTACTTTATTTTAAATCAAGTATTTTAACAATGAAAGGACATGCCTCTTATTTTACAACTTTATCCAATTTTCTTCTCTGATATCGGTTATTCAAGATTCAAGATATATGAGGTATCTAGAAATACACATGACATGAAAATTTTATCATTGATAATTAAATATTGAAAATAATCAGAGGAAAAATAAAGATTAAATACATGTTTAATTCTGTGTAATATTTTCAATTTGTAGAAATTGGTTATTTTCTTGAGAGAAACAATTAAGAAATTAGTCTAAAACTGTCTCTATTCAAGAAAAAGTATTTTTTGAAGCAGGTACGACGATTTATATGTTTATATCAAAATTATGTAGCTCGGTTGTGACGACAGTTAAAACAAATATAGTGCCTTAACCAAAATAAAAAATCAAAACTTGAGAAAAAGCAAGAAACATGTATGAGTGACAAATGACAAGACCCCTTTGTTAATGTTTGATGTTGATTCTTAGAAAATTCTTAATTAACCTATTGTCAAATATGATCCCATATTTCAGATTTGTATTTCCGATACTAATTAACAGACTGACTGATAAATAATCTTGACTTTAATCGCATTAGATGTAAATTTAATTACACAGAATATTGCAAACACTAATTGAAACCTCGTACTTTAACAACATTATCAGAACATTTGAAACGAAGGTTAAATATTACTATAGATTTTTTTACTGTGTTTATGAGCAGTCAATTTAGTCAAATAACTGACAAATACATTTCTTCACATGTTATTTTGCAATATAACAATTAAACTTGAAATTATATAATATCAAATCATTGCTGCCGTTTTTATTATTTTAGAATTTAATAATAAAGAGAACATAACCTCAGATTCTCAGGTTCAAACACACTTGATAACTGAAAACTTTGCCTTTTATTGGTAAGTGCCAGAAACTTAGATACTGGCAGCACCATAGGCTCGTGGAAAACAAGACTATTATATTAAAAATCTTTTTTAAATACCACTTGAACTGAAAGTACCAAACTAAAAAGGACATCTGATTAGCGACCTTTATTATTTTTAAATATTCAAGTTAAACAACACTATACACTTCAGGAAAAAAAACCTCTTAAAGAATTTGTAGGAGTCAAGATGATGAAAAATATAACAAAAATCATTTCCTTTTAAATCGGAACAAATAATGTAAAAGATCTATACCTTTTCCATTTAGAGTGAGATTGGTGATGGCGAAAGAACTCAAACTTGAACTTGATTTGTCCATGTTTGCAGCGTTTCGGTGTTATGTACTGGTTCTACAACATAAATACAAAACATTTACAGATTACAGACAAAATGACTTACGTTCTTAAATTGAAAAATTTTGTATTTCAAATTTTCAGCTTACCTTGACAACTGTTGAGATTGGCTTTCTTTTGTTTCTGAACATCTCGCTATATGATATATAAGAAAGAACATCGAAAAATCGATTCTTGCTCCTGATTGGCCGGAATTGAATACGTTAACTGAGAACATATTCTAAATTTTACTTAAGTGCCAAGATGAAAACTGAACCCATACTTTTACAATTCTTGAACAAAGATTCAGTCACATCTTTTACACTGGGGTTATTGGTAAAACAAATGATTGTGCAATATAAGAACATGTAAAGTAACCATAAGATTTACACAGGTGGTATTGATACTGATGACAGAACAGAATAATACTTTGTCTTAATTTGTCATTTAGTAACTGCCTTTGTAAACGAGAAATTGAAAAGTTCATCAAAACAGTTTCGACTTAAAATTAATCAATATGAATCTAATTACTCAATAAATGTATCAAGTTATAAATAATAATAGAACTGCTTCAAGTGCAAGTATTTTCAATTTCCGATAGATAGATAGATAAACTACTCAATTTCTAAGTACCTAGGCAACAAGAAACGAACAGTTTTTATTTTTGTGTGATAAATTTGATATTGTTGACAAGGTGTTGACAGTAAGTGTTAATTAACATTCCAGTATGTCCAATTGGAACAATTTTAAGTCGTAAAGCAGGACAAATGTAAAGTAATCTCATCGTGAATTTAATGGCAATAGATCGGTTCAAAGGGAATTTTTTAGATTTATCAAACCTTTAACTGTATAGACGCCTTTCCAATTTATATATCTTTTAGATGAATCATTACTAATCCAAATGCATGAAATATTTTTTTCATCCCGGTTTTGTGATTTACATTTAAAGGACTGCTGTTTTGATAAAACCATTTTATTAAAATTCCAAAAAAAATCGTCACATATGGTACGTCAATTTCTGCTCAACGAAAACGAAACGAATTATTGCATATGCATGAGAAAAAAGTTCACCATTAAAAAAAGGTCGATTTCTACTCAAGCGCCAATAATTGCAATTTTTATCTTCCCGAAAAGGAAAAATGAAAAGCATTTCAAGAGTGAATTAAAAAAAAATGACCAAACATATTTACATATATCAATCTGCACTAAAAATACAGAAAGTGAAAATGAAAATGCCTGACCATATGTCTTTAGATAGTGGCTAAGTACCTGTTAAATATCTCATTCGTATCTCAATTTACAAAAAAAGTTATGCCCAAATTGATGCTAAAAATGTCAGGAGTGCAACATCTTTTTTGTGACATTTTGAAAATTCAATATTTTTTGAAGATCTGCGAAATAGATAATAATGGTTTATGTTGGAAATAAAATCTTTCCTGATAATATTCAAAGTATTGGACTTTAAATATAGACTGTAGCAAGCAGCAATCGCAAGCAGCATTAATAAGAGTCAAGTATCTGTGAATACCCAATAATGTCAGGAGTGTAACATTTGATGTTTTGCTCCCCAGCATGAAAAAACTTTTATCAGTATATGATTCTGTGATTTTTATTTTGGAAAATAAAGAGACAAAGAACATTTTCACCAAATAGATTTATCAATTGCAGGGTCTTCTGTGTTTCAGATCTATAATTATGTCTATGGTCAGGAGTGCAACACATTTTTTTTTCAAGTTTCAAGTTATATGATGAAAAGACTTCTATTCATGCTAAGAAATATTCTTTGATTAATAATGATCTAATTTGAATAATTTAGTATTAATCATTGACAGTTTTATTATTAAAATCCTTCTCTTTTTTAATATTATTAATTCAGATGTGTTTTTATGTGTGTGTGTGTTTGGGTGGGTGTGTGTGAGTGTGTGTGTGTATTTGTGTTTTTAGTTTTTGTTTGTTTGTTTTTGTGTGGTTTTTTTTTTTAAGTTTTTTTTATTAATGTAAAAAATAAACACACTGAAAAATTGTTATAAAATTCAAGTAATTCCACCTCAAATTCACGGAAACAAAGGAAACAACAGAACAAGTGTTGATGTAATTTTCGCTTCACAATTCTACTTTAAAGACTTCCATGCTCTTAGTCAGGAGAGCAACAAATATGTTAGAATTATTGCTGATCAAATATGAATAAATATAAATAAAAAATTGATGTGTAGATTATGTCTAGGGAATCATTCAAGATACATAAAGCAAAGTTTAAATACTTTCCTGTGTTTTAATTATGTATTAGGACTATAAACATTGCACAATATCGTTGCCACTTGATGTTGCCAACACTTTATGAATTTTTGTGTTCTATGGTTTTAATTTTTCATTTTACTGTAGTCAGGAGTGCAACAAAATTGTTTTATAATTATCAATGATCTTTATCTACCTTTAATAAAAAAAAATAAATCGAAAAAAATATTTGATATTATTTGATGGTCAAAATATTATGTCTATGAAATAATTACAGACATTTGACGGTTAATTCAGAGAAGAGTTTTCATGACTTAATCCTCCTTCCTGTTCATGTTCTTCTCCACCCTACAACTATAGTCCTGCTGGACACGTTATTACTGGTGACGTAAATATAGTTAATAATGAGGACCTTAAATCATTCATTTTAAAAAGGCCAAAATTTTGGGAAACCCGATCTTTTAACAGGCGTCAAAATTTCATAAATATTATGGATTCTGTGAAAGATTACGCCAGGCGATGAGCCAGACATGAAAAAGAAGACCTTGACACGTTGTCAGAATGGATTAAATATATCGGATGTATGTTAAAATCTCGCATTAAGCGATTGAGGGGCAAAATGAAAACCAACTATCTTTCTGTGTTCAATAATTCAGAAGTGAAAAAAGAATTAAATAGATTACACGATCAGTATGTACTGGTCCCTGCTGACAAAGCATGTAACAACATTGTCCTTTTGTTTTTTTTAAATTGTATTTTAGAGGAACTGGGATTTAATTCAACAAGTGGTAATCCGACTTATACTCATAGCTCCATTTCTAAGGAGGAAATCCTTCAAAATCATATGTCAGTACGTTTTGAATATTTTTAATATTCCCAACAACCAACATGGGTTTTTTAATATTCCCAACAACCAACATGGATTTAAATTACCATATCTATACTGGACTCCGAAACTTCATAAAAGTCCTTACAAACAAAGATACATAGCGGATTCCAGTAAATGTTCTACTAAGCCTCTTTCCTTACTCCTCACAAAAAATATTAACTGTAGTGAAGGAGAAACTTTAGGAGTACTGTGCAACAATATATTTGAGAAGTGGTGTAAATCAAATGTGGATACTTAAAAATTCCAAGGAACTTTTGGAAAATTTGAAATAAAAAAAAAATTACCAAAATCAACAACATAAAAACTTACGACTTTTTAGTTTTATATACAACCATTCCCCACGATAAATTAAAGTAAAGGCTTTTTGATATCATTGACAGCTGATTTTCCAATAAAAATGGAGCTCGTAAATTTACTTACCTTGTCATTGGTCATTTGCAAAATTATTTTGTTAAAAAACATTCTGATTGTACACACAGGTACTCTGAAGTTGATATTAAAAAGATGCTTGAGATTCTGATTGACAGTATCTATGTGGTTTTTGGAGACCAGGTCTTCTAACAATCTATTGGAATTCCCATGGGTACCAATTGCGTCCCGTTATTAGCAGACCTTTTTTTGTATTCATATGAAGCAGAATTTGTTCAAAATTTTGTACGTGAAAAGAAGAAAACACTTGCTGTGGCTTTCAACTCGACATTTAGATATATCGACGACGTACTGTCAATTAACAATGGTTATTTCCTTTCGTATGTCGATACGATATATCCCAGTGAGCTTGAAATAAAAGATACCACAGAATCTGACACATCTGTTTCATATTTGGATATTTTACTAGAAAAAGACGTTAATGGAAATCTAACAGCCTAGTTTTATGATAAACGTGATGGCTTTAACTTTTCAATCGTCAACTTCCCTTACTTATGCAGCAATATACTTTATACTTTCATCACCTGCTTATGGGGTTTATATCTCTCAGTTGATTTGATACGCAAGAGCATGCTCTACGTATAAAAAATTTCTAAAACGAGGTATGTTATTGACAAACAAGTTGATGAAACAAGAATATCAGCAGTCTCGTTTAAAGTCGTCATGTCGTACGTTCTATGGTCGATACAATGACCTTGTCAGCAAATACAATTTACCATGCTCCAATCCAAAATTTGTATTGTTTAATAGACTTTTGAGAATGAATACTGTTCGTTATCTCCATACATTTCATTAACATATTTTTAAATACAATGTATATATATGTTACACTTTGCAAATAATCCTGTTTTTAAGTCCTGAAAATATGAAAAACTTGCCGTAAATGATAAAAAATATCAAAACGACGAACTGATTTACAAAGAATGGGTTATTGTGTGTTATAATTTTTAAAACAATATTAAATAAAATACATATCAGATGTCGGGAGTGCAACACAATAATGTAAAATAGGGTCACTTTAAAATCTAGTATTTTTTGTAAAAAAAAAAAAAAAACAAACAAACAAACTTGTATATAATTTTTTTGGTTTAGATCTAAATGGACAAAAAAGTGATTTTGGGAGGATTTTATTGTTTTATATTTCTTTTATTAAGACTTTTTAAACCAGCATCGAAAAAATAATCTAAAATAAAAATCAAAAGGCCAATTTTTTCCCCACATATACAAGAGAAGAAACTCAATAAAGGGTTAGATCTAATCATTTATATCCCTGATACCATTTTGAAGCATAACAAAGCACAATTGAAACATTTTAGTGATGAATACCGTAAACATCCGTATAAAATTAAAAGGAATCTGTACAAAATTTCTATGAGACCATTAAAAAGCGAGCGTTCAATGAAGATAAAAAAATATTCTCACCATATCGGCCTT